TATGCCTTTGAGAGTCTCAGCGGACAGAACGCACCAGCAGTTGCCTAGGCTTCTACCTGGAGGCACGTCATTCCCATGTCCTGCTCCAATGGTAACGCCTCCAGCGCCTGCAGCTCTTGCCTTTAACTGCTGGTAGCAGGGGTGACTGTTGCCTCCTGAGTCTGGGACGGGCACAATTTGTTGGCGGGCCATGGGGCAGGCCAAGAGCTTCATATCTACTATACTTGTGTGTTGTGGCTTAGTGCCCGCCCACCCCCCGCCGCTCCCCCCCATATCGCGCTGCCGGCATACACAGCAAGAAAACTGCCTCATCCTGAGCAGTGCTAAGTCAGGGCCCAATCCCAGGTGGGGAACGGGCCCCTCTCTGCCCCACTACCAGTCGCCAGTGCCTGGTAGCACCCTCCAAAAGCAATCACCTGCCTGTTGGCTCACAGAATAATGGGGCCCGGATGCCCCAGGCTTTGTATTCTCCCTCCCTGTGCCCCGATCAGGTTTTGAGCACCTTGCTCTCTGCAAACTTAGGCCCTTGTTGGCCACTGATCCTTATTGCCCAACACCCAGGGATAGGCTTCAGGTTTGGGTTGGAGTTAGTGATCACAGAATATGACTTTGCATTTTGGGTTGTTGTTTGACTCCTAAGTATAATCATTAAGGAGAAAATTTCCCAAATATTGCTTTCAAGAGTATAAATGGGGGAGGAATATGTCCATTTTTTAAATCTTTTAGCTACTAGCAGTAAGTTTAAGTCAAGATTTCCTTGGCTGATGTCAGCATATCCAGTGCTGCATTTCTGGCCCTTGCTGCTTAGCACTGGAATCACTTGTAGTTTAGAATCTGACCGTCCTTTACACAGTTTCATCTGTGTGTGATGGAAGCCTTCACATAGAGGGAGTTTTACTAAGTGATGCACATTATCAAGAACCAGGTACTGTTGAGTCTTTTAAGAGACAAGACTACAGCACTTTTTTGTAGTTGGGAGTTTTTTACAAGTTTAGAGACAGAATTTTGGGGAAGTTGGAATTCCTTTACTGGGAACGAGGGATCCTGGTTTTCTCAGATAACAAAAATAAAACGCAAAATCTCTGATGAAAAACCCCAGCATCCATGTTTTTCTATGATTTAAAATGAAGTGCCAGTATGTATGTAGGTATGAGTTGAACACTATGTTTTATTGATGTCTTTTTAATTTTAAAGCACTTTGAATCCTACTAGTGCCTCAATCTGTAGAATAAAAACAATGTGAATACCTATACATTTTGGCGTTTGATTTGGGGGTTTTTAGCATGGAATATCAGAGCTGCTCCTGCTCCCTTTGTTCACCAGGATGTGGGTCCAGGAGCTGGTGTCCACCCTCACATGGCTTTGTGGCACTGATATGCTCTTGCCCTGGCCATCCCCTTGCCCCTCCCTTGTGAACCAAACCCCCCTTGGCACTGCTGGGGCGCTTCATAGATTTATATAAGTTAGGGGCTGGAAGGGACCTTGGTTGTCATTGGGTCCAGCCCTGCTGCTCTAAGGCTGGAAAGACTGCTGAGGTCTGCGTGCAGTGAGGCGCGCATCTAGTCTGAGCAGAGTCTGTTCCAGACTCTGGACACACGAACCGTAAAGTTTTTCTTGTGTCTAAGCTGCAGCAATCCTCTATCAGTTTATGACCATTATTTCTAGTCTTCCCTTGGGGTGCCTTGGTGAACAGATGTTCTCCTAGGCCCTGAAGTTTACCCCTTATGTACTTAAAGGCTGCCACCAAGTCCCCCCTAAGTCTTCTCCTCCAGGCTGAACAGTCTCATGTTCTTCAGCCTCTTTTTGTACTGTCTGTTCTCCAGACCTCTGATCATTTGTATGGCCCGCCTTTGGACTCTTTCCAGCTTCTTGACATCTCTCCTGGAAGTGTGGCACCCAGAACTGAACACAGTCCTTCAGGTGCGGCCTCACCAATGCTGAGTAGAGCGGGAGGGTGACATCCTCAGTCTTGCTTGTGATGCATCGGTTGATGCATGCCAGAGTGATTTTCACTTTGCCAGCCACAGGATTGCATTGGTGGCTCACGTTCATTTTGTGGTTGATCATAACCTGTGGATCTTTTTCAGTTCTGGTGAATGGAAAACCCGGATCCTCGCTGATTACCCCTTTTGTATGTGAAGTGAAGTCACAATGACATTCCCTAGTGATACTCCAGTCCCTCTTAGCAGGTAAAAGATTACAACACCCCAGGTCAGATAAAGAGGCAAGAGACAGGGCAATAACCTGCCCTTACACTGATTACACCTCAAAGCATGAGAACAGGCACATAAATATTACGTGTAAATAAAGGGAAGCTGTACAAAGACCTTTGCAAAGTGGAAATGACCTGCTGTTAGCCTCCTCCTTCCTCCTGCATCCCCCCCAGATGGTAGAGGTGAGAATCTGTATCTGTCCTTTGGCAGGTCACAAGGCAGGTATAGAAAAAAATATGTGGGTTTGTATAATCAGTACTAGCCACTTGCCCATCAAGAATGGCGGGGGGGGGGCTCGGATGGAGTGCTGCCACCTAACGCCCCATGCTGCCACTGTTCCACCTCTTGCAGGGAGCCGGGTGGGGGCTTGGCTCTCCCACCCTCTGTCCAGTCCTCTGCTCGGCTTTGGAATCATGGTGGTGCTCCCCCACGCGTGGAGCGCTCTCTTTCTGTCAGCCAATCGGAGCACGAATAAAACGTTATGGACAGACAGACACGTAAGTTTTTATAATATTAGAATTTTGATAGGTGTCACACAGATGTGTCTCAATGAAAGCTTGGGAATGAGAGTGAACCTGTTTTCCTGTGGACTTGGAAGATGCCATTTAGCTGGGGCCTCTGTCCCTGGGGAAAAATACAACTCTGAGATGGAGGAGCACCGCTCATTAGCGGTTTGCAAAGTGGGCCTGATCTGATTCGGATTTGGCCAAAATCTGGGACAGTGATTCGATTAGTTGATTCAGATCACTGTCCCTGATTCAATTTGGCCGAATCTGAAGATCTGATGCTGATTCGGACATAGAAAATAGTTTTAAAGCTGTTTCAATATACCTCAAAGTACCAACGTGGATTGTAAACACTGTGATGCTGGGGTGCATGGGGGGCGGGGGTGGCCCTCCACGTGCTCGGCGGTGAACCTGGAAGTAGACGGGAAGTACTTCTGGGATCGTCTGGAGGATGTGCAAGCCCCCCCCACCCAGCGCTCCCCTGGCTTGATGATCGGCCATGGGGGGACCAGGGTGCCGCCCTCCCCCCTCCCGAGACCCATGACTTATACATGTCATGCAAAAGTCAGGCTTCTGCTAGGTCCGTAGTTTGCAACAGTCCATGTGCCCTGTCAGCCACTGGCTGTATCTACAGCCTGAGGGAGGAATTACCGTGCAACCCCCTCCCTCTCGCCACCCCTGCCTCCTGTTACCTAGATTACAGGTAACCTTGTGGGTAGGCTTCAGATAAGAGAGGCAGAAGTAAGTCGATAGCCCCCCCTTTTATTTGTTTGCCCCTTGAAACAGGAGAACAACCCTTATTTCAAAGTCTATCTGCCTATCCACAACCACACAACAGGTGTTCACTTATGTTGGCTGGGGAGACTCAGGAGGTGGGAGGAGGGTGGTACACAGATTGGCAGCAAGTTTTCTTGCATTTGCTGAGTTCTCCAAATTTCCCTTCAGCCTATGCCAATATTTATAGATACTCATTGAGTTACATCAGTCGCTACCACCACTACTACTTAATGATAAAGCTATGATGTTGCTTACGTGGATTATTTAATGTTTAGACTTTTCTTAGCTCCTTTTAGGCCTGGTGCTTTGTTTAATTATTTGATGGTTTCCTTTACTTGGTGACCAACGTAGTTGTCACATGTGCAAAGGTTCATGCTGTGGTCACTCAGAACAAGGCTTTGGGCCTTCTGTTTGCAGCACTTCTCCAGCTTAGCCTTGATGCCTTGAAAATGGCTCAGGCTGGCAGCAGGATTATTTTACCATTATCTGTGGTTAACGGATTGGTGGTTAACAGTGTGAGCGTTTTTCTTCGGGTGAAAGTGTCTGATGTGGATCTTTCCTTTCTCACAGGCTAGTCCCTGCGCACTTGTCCTTGGAACCAGCTTATGGATGAGGAGGTTCAACGTGACAATAGCACCTAAAGGCCTGGGGTTGAAGGGCCCCTGACAACTGTCATGTCTGCAACGGGTCCCTGTGTGGGCTGCTGAGAAACAGGCCTCATTTCCCTGTGCCCAACACCACAGGGCCTGTGACCCTAATGTTTGTCATCCTCTGACTCCCACTTCTGGAGGCCTCCCATGAAACCCCTTGTCCCATCACAGCTTGCAGCATGGCTCCACCACTGTTTCCCAGCTGCAAGGGGAGAGTTGCAAGGCTGGTGGGGAAGAGCTTTCCTTGCTCCCACGCTCTTTATTTCTCTCAGCTTGAAGCTGTTTGTCTGTCCCAGTGCTTCGTTTCTGTCCTCCCACTTGCATAGCCACCCTGTCGCCTCAATAGGCTGAGAGGTGGTCTGAGGGGGTGCGCATGGACCCCCAAGAAGGACTATTTGGTTCTGGCCTGATGCTGCAACCTCTCTAGAGACCACCTTGCGGTATGCCAAATTTTCATTTTTTAAAGAGAAAAATAAATGAAAAACCTGTTGTTCGGGAAGCACCACAGGACATCAGTTCAGTTCCAGGGGACAGTTTGGGATTTTTCATGTAAAATAGTATAATAGTGAAAGTGGGGTTGAAGTGATGGTGTTATTCATTGTGTATTTATTCTGAAAAACTTGAACCTGTACAGAGATGTATCCAACAAGGGTATGTATGTATAATACACACCATAATTAACACAGTGATCCTGTTACTATCTTTCTCTCTCTGACTCTGTCTCTATACAGGGGGATAGTGATATAGATATTCATCTGTCATACTTGTGTATAACCATATACGGGTGTCTGAGGTTAATACAGATAGAATAGGTATCCTATGCAGCCATACTTTGTGAAGAAAGACCCGGCTCAGTGCTGCCCTCCTGTGCTTCAGTCAGTCCGCGGCGGAGCTGTGTCGAGGGCTAGAGAGCTCGATGCTGCCCTCCTGTGGTCCCGTCGGGGCATTGCTGCAGCACGTGAAGGCGGAGAATAAGCCCTGCTCAGAGCCGCCCTCCTGTGGCCGCGCCGGGCATTGCCGGGCAGGTACCGAACCCGGCTCCGCGCTCCCCGCCTGGGGCTGGAGCGGGGCTTGGAGCTCGGAGATACGGCGAGGGATCTATGCGGCTCGGTGCCGCCCTCTGTGCTGCAAACTTGGCATCGCATCCAGGCGAAAGCCAGAGAAAATAAAACCGAGCTCAGTGCCGCGCTCCTGTGGTGACAACCGGGCAGCAGCGTGGAGGTACTGCAGATAACCAACCGGCTCCGAGAGGCGGTGCGCCCGGGGCCCTGTAGATCGGATTTCAGGCAGCAGAAATAAAGGCTGCTCCGCGCTGCCCGCCTGGGGCTGGAGCGGGGCTTGGAGCCCGGAGATAAGAGCCGGGAACAAATCCGGGTTCGCGCTGCTCGGGGCGGACGCACGGTACAGGGCCACGGATTCCGGCCCGGCCGGATTCAGCGTCTCGCGTTTCCGTTGGCCGCTTTCAGGAGTGCGGCGATTGGCTGACAGGGTTGTGTGGGCGGGGCCAGGCCTAAGCCGGCCTTGTCCTTGTTCCCTCTGATTAGCCGCTGCCAGAGGAGGCGGGTTCAGGACTCGCCCGCCTTCATCGCAGTCTGATTGGCTGGAATGGTTTAGTGAGAGGGGTGGCGATTGGTCCGACTCCTGTCCCCGACGGAGCCGTTCAGTTGGCCGGGCGCGGGCGTGTGCCGCGGGGAACTGGGGGGGCGCCCCGTTTGCTCCAAGCCGCGCGCCGCGCTTCCGGACCGGTGCTCCCTGGCGGGCTCCGTTCCGACCTGTGTCGTTGCCAGCAAGATTTCCACGGAGTTTCCCCTTTTTTGAAGGAGAAAAAAAGAAAAATCCGTTCTTCAGTAAGAAGTGCAAGGGATCACTTCAGTTCCAGTGGAGAGTTGGGGAACGTCGCTGTAAATTAAGTAAAATATTGAGCCGAGGGGATTGACGTGACAGTGTTCATCGTTGTGTGCTTACTTTGGGAAATGGCGTGTGGGTTGTAGCCGTGTTGGTCTAAGGACATAGGCAGACAAGGTTCCTTCGGTGAATCTGATATCTTTTATTAGACCAATCCAAATTTGGTAATAAAAAGATATCAGATTCACCCAAGGAACCTTGTCTACTTTGGGAAATTGAATTTGTACAGCGATGTATGTAATAAGGGCGTGCGCGTGTGTAATTAGCAGTGACCCCCGCTACTGTCTACAGAAGGGGCAATCGAGATACGTATGCCGATGTTTACGTCCGGACCTACAATAATAAGTGCAGCTCATACATATCTAACAGGGGCACTATGCACCCATAGCGAGTGTCAGAAATACACTTCTCGGCGCTGCCTCCCGTGCTCCGAGCTGGGCGCAGCAGCCGCCACATCAAGGCACCGAGGGGAAATCCCTGCTGAGTGCTGCCCTCCTGTGGCCACGCCGGGCATGGCAGTGTGGGGGTACCTCCGGGAACAAACCAGCTCCGTGCTGCCGTGCTGTGGCTCACCCGCGGCCCTGCAGCCTGGCTTCAAGGCAGAGGAAATAAAGGCGGCTCCGCGCTGCCCTCCTGAGGCTGGAGCGGGGCTTGGAGCCCGATGAGGGCTCGGAACAAAGCCGGCGCCGTGCCGCCCTCCCTGCGCTCCAACCTGCGCGCTGCAGCTGGGTGTTCAAGCCAAAGAAAATAAAATCTTCCCCTGCGCTACTTCCCTGTGCTTCAATGCGGGCTTTGCAGCCACGAGAGGAGGGCAGCGAGAGCACGAAAAGCGGCTCTGGCCGTGCACCTGTAGCTCAGGCAGGCGGGAGATAAAGACAGGGAGAGAAGAAAAAAGGCCTCGCTCGCTCGGGGCGTTACCGGAGCAGTGCCCGCGGCCAGGGCGAGGCGGGTTCGCGCTGCTCGGGGCGGACACACGAGCCCCGGGACGTTGATCCCAGCCCGGGGAGCGCGGCAGGCCCAGGATCGGAGTCTTGCGTTTCTATTGGCCATATTAAGGCCTGTGGCGATTGGGTGGAGTTGTCACTTGGGCAGGATCAGGGCCGCTCCGCCCTTCTTTGCTCTGATTGGCCTCTGCTGGCGGAGGCGGGTTCAGGAACGCGCCCTCCTTATTCGCATTCTGATTGGCTGCTGGGAAATAGTGGGTGGGCTGCAGTCTTCTGAGTGCTGATTGGTCCGAGGTGGACGCTTAGCAGCCCTCTTTAGCTGTTCGTCTTTCCGCTCGCGGGTCAGCCGTGCGCAGAGCCCACGTCCCGCAGCTGGCCCGGACCCCCGGGCGGTCCCGCAGCGCTGCGGGAGACTGTTCTGACGGCCGCGGCGGGGCGTGAGGGAGATTGCGTTCCCCACCTTGCGGGGCCTGTCAGGCTCTCTCCTGAGGTTGGTGTTGAAGCTTGAAGCTGTGTCTGTCCCAGTGCCTCTTTTCTTTCCTACTCCCGCCTGCGTAGCCTCCCTGTCTCCTCGACATGCTGGGTGGTGGTCTAAGGGGGTGCGCGTGGGCCGCCAAGAAGGACTGTTTGCTTCTAGTCTGACGCTGAAACCTCCCTAGAGACCACTTGGCAAAGCACCACTCTTCTCTTTTTTTTAAAGAGAAATGGATATGAAAAACCTCTTGTTCAGGAACCACCACAAGACCTCAATTCAGTTCTACGGGAGAGTTTGGGATCTTTGGTGTAAAATAATGTAATATTGAGAACAGGGGATTCACCTGACGATGTTATTTATTGCGTACTTACTTCGAAAAACCTGAACCCGTACAGAGATGTATCCTATAAGGATGTGTTTGTATACCGATATACAGATGGTGTGTGTATAATACATACCATTATTAACACAGTGATCCTGTTACTATCTCTGTCTCTATAGATGGGGATGGTGATATAGATATTCATGTATCCTCCCGGAGCAGCCGGGATTTCAAGCCAGAAAAAAATAAAAACTTGCCCTGTGCTGCTCCCTTGCTTTTGAACCTGGGCTTTGCAGCCAAGACATGCGGGCAGAGAGAGAAAAAAAACCCGGTTCCGGCCGCGCACCGGTTCCTCAGGCAGGGGGGAGATACAGGCAGCGAGAAAAAAACAAAGGCCCCCTTCGTGCGGGACGTAACTCGGGCAGTGCCCGCGACGGACACACGATTCACGGACATCGATTCAGGACCGGGGACCGCAGCAAGGCCGGGATTGGAGGCTCGTGTTCCCATTGGCCACATGAGGCGTGAGGCGATTGGGTGGAGTGGCCGCTTGGGCGTGGTCACGACCACTCCGCCCTTCTTTGCTCTGATTGGCCTGTGGCGGGGGAGGCGGGAGCAGGAGCCTGACCTCCTGTTCACATTCTGATTGGCTGCCGGGGACTGGTGGGTGGTGAGCGGGCTTCTGTGCGCCGATTGGTTCGACTCCGCTTCTTAGCGGGTCACGACCAGTCCGCCCTTTTTTGCTCTGATTGGCCTGTGGCGGGGGAGGCGGGAGCAGGAGCCTGACCTCCTGTTCACATTCTGATTGGCTGCCGGGGACTGGTGGGTGGTGAGCGGGCTTCTGTGCGCCGATTGGTTCGACTCCGCTTCTTAGCGGCCCCGCTCAGCTGTCCGCGTACGCCTCACGGGTCCGCGGTGCCCGGAGCCCACGTCCCGCTGCTGTCCCGAACACCGGGCGGTCCGCGAGAGCTGCGACCGGTTGTTGTGGCGACCACGTGCGGGAGATCGCGCTCCCCACTGCGGGAGCGCCCGGCGCGGCGCTGGTAACGGCCACGTGTGA